GCTAATTAGGGGAAGAGGGTGTTTGTTAAATCTGAATGCCCGTTAAATTTAAATGTTCGCAAAATAGTGACTATATGGAAAAAGGGCAGTGGAATGCGAAGTACGTGTAGAGAGGGAACTTCAAACACACCAGAATCATTACTAGACTGGGGATTTTTATGCAAATTCACATTTTTATTAAAAGAATTAATGAAACGGAAGCTTCGCAGAGGGCTGTCTCAACCCCTAAATATAATAATTCGTATCTTACTTTAAGTATTTCTTATATTTTTGCATATTAAATGCATTGTGTAGATTTTTGAGGATTAAAATTTCCCATAAATGCATAAACATCCGCAGTCTAATCATTACAAATCTGCACGGGACCATAAAAAAAAGAATTATTTGATCATATATTTAAACAAATATTTAAATTCCTGAATAATTTCTCAAAATTATAGTTGAAAGAGTATGTTGTAAAGGATCAAGATACTTCGAGGAGAATATCTTAATATTTTAAATTAGAAATAAATACTTAAATACAGATTACTATTATAATATAAATCATTGAAAAATATTAAACGAGTAATTTTTTTGTGTTGACTGATACTCATGTTCGGGAGATGAAAACCTACCCTTAAAATTGTGGATTAAATATCTATTTGATTCAATTTTTCAAAAATTAACAAAGGTAAAAAGAAATTTTCATTGTAAAAAATGTTTGGTGCTTGGCAAGCAATACCAGTATCAAAATAAAAATATTAATTATCATCGACATACCATGTTATTATAGCGTTATTGTAGTCAATCAGATAGCTTTTTTTATAATTAATTCTTGAAGACATATTTTTGCCACCTGATAATTAACAGATGAAACTAATAAATACTCACACATTCATGAAGAAAAACAGTTTCTGTGTCGTTCCACGAATTAATTAAAAGCAGTATAGTAGTTTATTTTGAACAATAAGTTGCCATAACCCAGTTAACGAAACTTTTGAACTAATGATTTAAATTACATGGATTAACAAACGAACACCTCATTTGCAGCTTTGAGGATAGTTTTTTATTTATATACATTTTAAACAAGAATATCTGCTGATGAGAAACGTATGTGCATAATATTTTTTATCAAAATCGATATGTTATAAAGAATGTTATTCTAAAGGGCTGTTTTTTCCAGTAGATTTTTTCAAACAGATACAATCGAGACTACTATGCTATAAACTGCTACGCAGTTATCGAAATCAGTCGATCGTTAGGCGAGTTTCAGTGTCTTTAGAAATAGATAAACACTTACGAAATATTCGAAGCGACGTTGTTATGAGCACGCGGAACGTTTCTCATACAAATGCATCCAAACGTGGTATCTGACGAAGATAAAAAGTATCTACGACTCATATAAAATTCCAATTATGAAAGGAACAACGAAGAAGAGGTATGAACGAAAAAAGAATTTTTTTAAGAACCTTTCTAAAACGGTTTCTTTTCTATAAACCTTAAATGTTAGCTTAACTCGATGTTAGCACTAAACACGTGCTCTTTAATCAAGACTTTTCTTTTAAAAAAACATCACTCTACAGTGTTTGAAAAAAGTATTCGTACATCACGCGATGGTCTAAATTAAATAGCAATAACAATTAAATAGCTATAACTTTCCATAATGGATATTACATTTTCAAACGTAAAATGAAATGTAATTAATTAATTTATTTTAGCTGCATATTCTAATATCAATATATTGAGATTAATACTGTGTTATAATTCTTGTAAACTAATATTAAAACTTTAACCCCGTTTGTTTTCCTCAAATTTATATGGCTCAAAATAAAATGTAAACTTTCATAAATGTTGTAATTCTTAATATTTATTTTTCATGTCTCGCGACGTTACGTTGTTTATAATACTCTTTACGTACTTTCTATTATCTAAAAACCCTGTCTTTCTAATTTAAATAAAACGCGTGAAAGTAGTAGCAGCCCGTTTGACGCAGACAGTTGCTCAGAAATAAGCACAGGAGATTCTTCCTTAATTCGAGCCTCCATTACTCGAATCTTCTACAATCGAAACACTTTTCTATTCAAACGTAGCATAACTTTGTGAATCATGCCTCATCCTACTGAAATATTTTTTTATAACGATTGAAACTGACCCTAATCGTAACAATTCAACATGAAACATAATAGCATCGAAACAGTGAATGGTCGAAACCTAACATGCACCTTCAATAGCTTGTAAATTATACATTGTACAAAGGATCGTGGTATGCAAAAATTGTATTGCGTCAAGGGGATCACTAGACGACGATGAATTTTGGAAAAAATTTTTGATGAGAGAACTCGATAGATTAATGAATTAAGAGAATAAAAACATTATGGTATATTTAACTTAAGTGTTCGGTTACTAAGGCATAACAATTTGACCTTGACCGATCTCGAATCACAGGTCGTTCAACTCGACCTTCAAACAGAACATTTTCTAATATATACAACTTCCCGATTCAAGGCGATGAGATATGCAAACGACATCATTCCTAAGATAACAGTTCCAATATTTAATTAGCTTAACATCTCTAAAACCGTTACTTTTAGGATACGTGCACCTTAAAATATTCACTTCTAGAACTAGCTAATTTATCGAATCCTGCCATAAGAAATAGGACATTTCACGTAAAAGAACGATATTGGTTTCCAAATCTTTCAAGTGTCTTACGACCATATCGCGTGCTTCGTCCTATATACTGCATTGATTTGTATTATTATTCATAACTAAATTAAAAAATGTTCCTGTCGTCAGAAAATTCCCGTGCCCGGGCAGTCTTGTCTTTTTTTAAAATACGAATAACGATGATTGTATTGCGCCCGTGCGCCGTATGTGGTGCACGAACGGTGAACGGGTTAAGCGATTTTGCGTCGAGGATAAATCAATCGAGCTGGACAGCGAAAAGATACCACTACCTACGAAGCCGGCGAAGTCGAAACCAGTTAATCACGCAACGTCCGTAAGTTCTCTCGAGTGGCTGCCTTAAGGTTTTCTAGACGAAGACGGAGCGAGCAAATAGAAAGAAGCAAATAGCGTAAAGACCATAGTGTACCCGGAACTCTCGAAACTGAAGCCGCATCGTCGCGTAGCTTCTTTGAAGTAGTCGGTTGAAAATCTTAAGACGGGTGTCTGCGAGCTACGCGGCACAGCTAACGCGTATATCCGGAAATAACGAAATTCGAACTTACTTCCTTGTACTGCGTCGGGCTGCTTCCAGTCGAGATAACTCGAAGCGTGAAACGGCGCTCTTAATGCGACGAGAAGGGAGCGAAAGAAACATGTCGTCAGATTTTATGACAGTAGAAATAAGTGGAAAGAAGATCTATCAACGTTTAAGCATTAAAAGATTCTAATTTCGGATAGAATCACCTAGAAATAGATAGCTGATAGAAGGTGTCGGGATTTATAAGTCACGACTTAACTATCGAAAGAAGAATATTATTGGAGACAATGCTTGACGAGATTCGTTTGCAGAACTACAAATGTGCGAGCATGCCTCAAGTTCCGATTTGTAGAACGCGGTTGGATGAGCAAGAGCCGATTGGATAACTCCCAGCATATTCCTGGAGGTATGGACAAGTTTCCCGAAGCCGACGTAGATATTACGTTTGAACGTTTCAAAGCAAGCTAAAACTTTGGAGCAACTCCGTGCAAATAGATACAAATCGTTCGTTATTATCGAATAAATGAATTTGATTTTTTTTCACGTCGATGTAGTTTACATGCACGCTCTATTGAAATTAACAACCAATAATATTCCACTTGGAGTTCAAAGTATACAAAATAGCTATTTCAGATTTATGATTGTCCAGCGTAAATAACTACTCGCTTGCAACAAGTCTCGAGGCGGCTCTTAACCGACAGTTCACATCGTGCTTTACGCGAACAATGTTTCGGCTGAATTCGCATCCGTTTTGCGTAGAATTCAATAGTGAGGGTGCTCGCCCACCCCTGGGAAAAATTTGAATGGGAGATTCCAGAGGCCAAAATAAGACGAAAATCAAGGATACTAATTTGTTGATTGAGGTTTCGTTACAAAGCTATAGAAATATTTCCGGCCACACAGTATAGTTTCGGTAAAGAATTTTTTTTCAAATGTACGTAGGATTTTGGGGGTCTGTGTAATCATTAAAAATGATTTTAATTGACTCCCGCAACTGAAAATAATTTTTTCGTGAATGATTTGAAATGTTTTAATTAAATTTTTTGATAACTTTTTAACGAAGCCTCAATCAACAAATTGATATTCTTGATTTTCGTCTTATTTTAACATCTAGAATCTTCCATTAAAATTTTTCCCAGGGGTGGACGAACACCCTGTATAGCTAGACGGGATCTCGCGCGTGGACAAAATTGGGAACGCAACTGGCTTCGGATGTCGATAACACGACGCGGAATACCAATCGAGAGAAACTTACAGCGTTACAAAGTGAAACAAGAAACGCGTCACGAACAACGTGTCAACACTGGCAAAACATTACGCGAGTAATATCCAATTGTCAGATCGTAACGCGTAATCTATCGCGCAGCATCTGCCGTTCAACGACGCCGATCTATCCTTATTCGATGCCCAACTCGAACCGGAGCAATCTTCCTCGTGTTACCTATTTGTTGGACGGTACTGTCAACTTTCGACTCCGTTTATCGTCGTTGGGGGTCGAGCGGAGTCGTCGAGCACGGACGCTCGAGGAGCCTCGCCGACACCGGAAGACGTTGCTCGATCATTTCGTGCACCGAGTGCGCGAACGTTCACAAATAGCCGATCGTTTTCACCGCAAGCAGAGACGCCTACACCACGAGTAGTCGCGCGCGCGCGAATCGTCGCGAAGCGGGCGCGCAAGCGCCGCATGTAAAACAAAATGTACACGTACAGGCGTGCACACGGGCTGACGGACGCACGCACGCAAGCACTGACGCACGTGCATATGCACGCGAGCACACGAAATCACACCGACGGCGAGAGGTCGCGCGTTTTCCACCTGGAGTCTTTCCAGCCGCGATGATCACTTTGTTGGCTGCACTTAACACGCACACACGTGGAATGCGACGCACGACGTCGGAGCGAGTTCGTTTTATCGGTGCCGCGTCGACGACACTACTGCTACTCCTTCGCGATCGAACCTCGAGACGAAAACACCGAGTTTCGTGAGCTCGACGAATTCCAACGCGCGAGCCGCGAGTCACAAACCGGCCACTGTGCGCTCGCGGAGAGGTGACGAGTCGAGTGCTGGAACAACGGCAACGAGCGACGGAGAAAGGGGAGAAAGGAGAATGGACAGCTCCGGAGAAAGAAACGAAGAGGGCCAACCGAGGAAAATGCTTGGTGCACGGGGCGTCGGAGAAACGAAGGAGGCGAACGTACTCCTCGGCCAAGCGGGACCACTGGCGCGTACGCACGCACGCACGCATGGACGCACACGTGTACCGGTACGCACGCACACACGCGCACACGTAGCCCACGATGCTACCACGTTTCCTTCCTCCTCGACAATTTTGGGAGTCTCGCGCACCAACGTGCGCGCTCGCACGCGCGCGCACACACACGCACACGCGCTCTCACACACACGATACTCGGAACTGATCGGAGCGCCCGATCCGCGGCAAAGCGACACGCGGTAAGCGTTCCTACTCCCGCGAGGTCGCGCGATCACGCTTCCTGCTCGGGCTCGGTCGGGAAAACTCGCGGAAACTCCGCGCGACTGCCGCATGAATATTTCGGGGGTTTGATGAACCTCCCGGCGGAACGCGAGTCACTAGGAAATAAAGGAGACGACGAACAAGGGAGAGAGAGATAACGAGACGGACAAAGACGGAAAAACGACCAGGAGGAGGGAAAGAAACAAAGAAAAGAGGGGGAGAGATATAACGACAAAGACGGAAAAAAGAATGGTGGGGGGAGAGTGACCGAGGGAAAAAAACACGTCGTGGTAAAGCCAGATAGATGGGACGGAGAGAGAGATGAAAAAAGACGGAAACAGAAAAAAAGGGGGGATAAAGAGAAACGAGAGATGGAATGTTAGAGCGGGAAAGAGAGAGGTGTTTTTCGGGGACCGGCGTTAGCGGGTTGGCATCTCACAATATGTCAGAACTCCCCGCACCCCCCACCATCGAATGACGCCGCGTCGGGTCACTGAACTGTGCGCGCCACCGCCGATGATGGCCGAGTGCCTCACCCTTTGCTCTCCCCACCTCACCAACACCCCCACCACCCTCGCACGAGGAGAAGAGCCGAGCAAATCCGAACCGTCCCGAGGAAGGAAACTGCGCGACGATCGTCGACTGCGCAACCCCGAACGGTCGCGGAAACGCACGAACGTGATCACAAACGCGTTGGGCGCGCTTTCCGATTTCGTCCCGTGCGACGCGTTAACTTTATTAGTGCGGCTCGTTAAGGGCACCCGGGCTCCTAAATACACGTGCGTATCGTGTTTCCCTCGACGATAGTCGGAAACCACGGTCCCGGAAAGTTTGTCTTTGGGGACGGCCGTCGCCACCGCCGCGACTAATTAAAGAACCACGATGGTTTTCCGTTTACTCCTTGCCGTTTACGACTACAACTTTGATTGAGTAGCCGCGTCGCGGCAATACACGGACCCTACGTGCTGCGTCGTTGAATTTTGAGAACGGGGATAATGAAGTTACGAGATTTCTCTCGATACAGTATAATTTTTACGAGCAGGTGCTTAACCAAAGAGCATTTTATTGTTCGACATAACTTACTACAGACAGAGATACGCGATACTCTTTATGAGCATACCTTTACCTCTATTAAATTATTATTTATATCGGTAATTAAAGAATTAAAGCTCAATTTTATACGAAACTTTATAATAAGGTAAATGTCTTAATCGTACGACATATTTTTTAATAATTACTTTCAATGATAAAACATTCTCGGTATTAATTTTTATCTATATTCAAATAAAGATACGAGAACTATCTTACTGTTTCTTATAAAATGTGTTTAAATCCTTAAAAAATATATCACCGATGTTCGAATATTTAAGGGTATAACGAAGAACATAATAAGTTCTGTTTCAAGATTCATTTATGGAATTGAAACAAAATTAAAGAAAAGCGATTAATTTCTTAAATTCATTACTCGAAATCACAGTACTAAATAATTAATGAGTGTAATGATACTTATTAATACTCAAAACTATCAACAAGTAACAAATTCCCTTTTTCATCCCTAACCTTTTAATCGAAACAAAATTATCTGCAATTTTACGAAACGTTAATACAAACTCAAAAATCAATTATTTCTTTGATTTCTATCAATGCAAGATTATCAAATTTAAACGGATATTCAATTTAAAAACTATTACGAAATGGCCTCGTAACACGGCATTTAGAAAGATTTAACCTTATTTTATTTTCAATGCATCACTGGCTAAATCTGGAAAGACCTGAGCATAATGGAATCATCGAAATTTAATACCCTCGTGTATGTAGATAGTCTGCATAAAAAGAAAACTTGCTATTTGTGAACACAACGGTTATGAGGTTAATAACAATATTGAATAGAAACTAATAGGTGAGAATCTTATTATATACGTCAGATATGATGAATCTGCCCTTAAAATGTTCAATTTTACATGTTATTCCAATTACAATCCTTATCAAAGTTTCTTAATTTCTTAATTTTCGATGTCGATGAATATTTAGAAAATAATACAATTCAGTGAATACCGATATGAAAAATTTGGTTTTGTCGTAAATTATCACCAAATTTCTTGATCCAGACATCTGTGTATATGAAATGTGACGACACCGCACGAGGGTTAAAGTGATTTTCAAGTTGCAAAGTTGCGTGGAAGGGATGCAAGACTGATTCGGGGAACTCTAACTCCTCGTATTTCACAATTTCTTTTTTTCAATCGGCCTATTGCATCTTAGCCGGCGTGGTATTGCTACACGACGCGTAACAATCGGTTTTAATTTATATTCAGTGTTAATGCGATTCTACGATCGGTGTACGCTTTAGGCATTTGTGCCAAGGTCACTTTCATTTTTGTCCTGTGCATAATGCACTTAATGCAACGCACGCCGCCGTTCATCGAAAGTGTTTTGATACGATGCCCGGTACTTTTTGACGCGCTATTGCATTTTTCATCGTCGGTCGTGTCCGATGTCGCGATCGATGCTTCGAGTTGCGAGCGTCAACCTTGTTTACCCAATCGAAAAGGACAAATGGCTTTCAACTTTCAAACGCCGACTCGATCGACGAAAAAGATGTACAATTTTTTTTTTATTTGTCCTTAGTTTTCTCATCGTCATTATCATCACGCAGTGTCGTCGTCCTTCCTTGTCCTCTCTCCTTCGTCTAAACGCACACACGAACCCGCGCTTCTATACACGTTTTCCAGAAGCCTCACCCTCCTTCACGTCACTCCATTTGGTCCTCTTCCGAGCATGAATTTTGAAGCTATTGCCTCTCTCCGAGTACGTCTTCCCCCTCTTTTCGACAGATTGTCCGTCTCCGTTCACCCTTCCCACCGTGTATGCGCTTCTTTCTCACCCTCTGCTTCCCCTCCCACGCCCCTATGTCCGAATAACTCCTTCGGCGGTTCGTTCTTTCTCTCGGACACGCGCGCGCCTCCTCCCACCATCGTCACTCTCTCCCCCACCGTTCGCATCACCCGTCCTTCTTTCTCGCTTTCAGTACCCCTCTTGCCCCGCCGTATTATTGTCTCTGCCCCCGCGACTCGCCCCTCCGCCCCACCAGGGCATCGCCTCCTCTCACTTCAAGCCGTTCCCTCGGTCGTCCTCCCCCTCTTCCACGTCCCTTTCTCTCCTTCTCTCGTTTATTGCATAACCGTGCACGAGGTTGCCAACCTGCGCCGCGTAATACTCTATAAATACGTTTCGCAAATAAATAATCGCCCCGGCGATATGTCTCCTCGCGCCGGTTCCAGCGCTTCGACGCGACTACGACGACCAAGACGACGCTAGCCGCGCTGGAATTTACTCGATGAAATGGCCCGATAGCTGGAACCGATAACCGGGCACCGTCGATAAGCGGCTGTGCACGGACCAAGAATGCACGTATACGAGAGCCCAGAGCGCGAGGAAAGACGTAGGAGACGCGTGCACGCATCCGACATCCGCGACGACGACACTGGCCGCGTCGGTTTCGTGTGCAAAGTACGTAAACTGCCGACGACCACGACGCGATCGCTGGCTGCGCCGCGAGAACCTCGCGCTCCCGAGAACGTCGCCCACTCTGTCCGCGGTGTTTTGTAAGAGACGACACGGTAATGCTGATCGATTTGCCCCGGCGTTATGTAATTCGGCCGATTCGAACCGGCGTTTCCTTTTCGTGACTTCTTCCGGACGGACGGAAACTTCTCTCTCTCTCGACGTGATCGGTTAACGCGTTCACTGGCCACGTCAGATTTCCCTGTCCGGCGTTATCCGACATTTTTCCAAATTACGGCGTAACGTACAAAACTAATATTCGATAAGGAGCAGGGAAGAGTAGGATAAAACTGTATACTTTTAGTTTTTCATAATGTAATACTGCAATTTTTGTCTGACTCTTGGTACTGGTTTTAAGTCTCCCTCAAAGTATTTTAAGATACAGAATAGATCAATGTTATGATGGTAATTTGAGCCTTGGTTACAACTTGTACGTAAAGAATCAGATTTCCCTGTCCGGCGTTATCCGACATTTTTCAAATTACGGCGTAACGTACAAAACTAATATTCGACAAGGAGCAGGGAAGAGTAGGATAAAACTGTATACTTTTAGTTTTCCATAATGTAATACTGCAATTTTTGTCTGACACTTGGTACTGGTTTTAAGTCTCCCTCAAAGTATTTTGAGATACAGAATAAATCAATATTATGATTATGGTGATTTGAGCCCTGATTACAACTTGTACGTTAAGAATCAGATTTCTCTGTCCAGCGTTATCCGACATTTTTTCAAATTACGGTGTAACGTACAAAACTAATATTCGTTAATACTGTTGGATTCCAATAGAATTGACAACACTTTATTTTCTTAAGAAATTCGTACAACTTGTATTAGGTCGACTAAGTACTAGACTCTTTCTGACGATTCTTCAATATTGCAAGCTTTTATATACTATTGCTGGAGGTAGGTAGAGGTAGGGACGATGGTCAAGGGGCAGTGTGACTCAGGAAGGGTGCGAAGGTCAGGACGAGTAAGGATTAGAAATCGTGATTAGGATGTTTGGATGAGTAATGTTTGTGATGTGACTGAGTGGTGTTTCTATGGTTGCGTTGGTCATCCAACAATACCATAGAGCAGGAGAGAGTAGGATAAAACTGCATACCTTTAGTTTTCCCCTCAAAGCATTTTGAGATAAAGAATAGATCAATATTATGATGGTGATTTGAGTCTTGTTTACAACTTGTACGTAAAGAACCAATTTCAGTAA